CCAGAACTCTGAATTCAGGAAACTTACAGTCATACTAACCGGCTCGATGAGGCGCACTGAATGACATTGGAATTGATCTGATCAAAGTCAGAATAAACCCGAATCAATTCGTTAAATTATTTTTGGAAACTTTGGGTAAATAATTGAATAGTCAAACAGATTTCAAATATGAGAACCTTTATAGTCAAATCGAGTGTCTCCATAATACGAATCCAATGAGCTCAAGATCCCTCAAATTCGACATTATTAAAGTACCCCAATGTCCACAAAATGTTGTTTGATCAAGAGTCCTCTCTGGGTTATTCGATTGAGGAGGCCTCTCCTAAACTCTATGAATAGAGGACTACCATATTCTTATCAAGAGTCCACAAAATGAATGCAACGATGCACCTTGTATACAGTGCAAAGATGTGTCTCCTATATGATGTATTGATGCCTCTTGAAAATGGTGCAACAATGCACTCTAAAATAACAGCTTACAACGTCGTTATCAATAGACAGTGACTTTCTCTATAATTTTGAAGCTCTCTCCTCACAGCTCACTGTTATAGACTACGTGGTCTACAGACATTATCACAACTTATGCAACTTCCTACTATAGCCTTTACGGCCTATGAACGTCTTCACAACTCATACCACTCCCAAATTTGGCCGTTGTAGCCTGTGGACATTATCACAGCTCTTGCAGATCTAAACTCTTACATCTGCTGCTTATAGATATTATCACACTCTAAACTCTTACATCTGGTGCTTATATACATTATTACAACTCATACAACTCACAGTTCTAGCCTCTGCAGCCTACGAATGTTATCTACTTATGCAGCTCCCAATTTCGACCACTACAACATATAAAAGTTATCACAACTCATGCAACTCCCAACTCCAATTTTTGCAATCCATAGATTTCATCACAACACATGCAGCTTAAAACACAGTCTTTTGCGCCTACAAATGTTATCATAGTTCATGCAGAAGTTGGAATGAATTTCTTGTAATTATTTTTTTAAGATATTTTTATATAATTAATTTATTTTAATTTAAAATAAATAAATTTATTTTTTTTATAACATTCATGCACATCGGGAATGCACAAGCACAAATCTTGAGAAGATCCAACTGTTAGAAGGCAAAAAATTAGCAATAAGGGGGCCCACCAGCAGAAGACCAAAATACCTTCGTATTTAATCGGACATAGCGGTCTGAACCAAGACAAAAACTAAAGCCAGTCGGATGCTCTCATATGAGACAGAGCCAACAAGACTAAAGACATCAAAGTTGTTTGTGCCTGAACCCAACAGACCAAAACATGGCAGATAGACATGCGAGTGAACCACCATAAGAAGACCCATCTAAATTGGCAATCAACCATTCGACAAACCACACCCGAAGAAAAATTGGGCTCTTCAATGCCATCAACCATCCCACTAATGCCTCAAATACTCCTTATCAGAGATCGAGAGGTAACTATGCCACAAAAAGTCAAGTCATCTCTTCGACTCTCTATGTTGGGGAGCGAGCTACCTATCGAGCTACAACGATTCACTATTTGCATGGTAAATTGACATTGCTCAACCAACAAGAGCTACCTACCGACCCGAAGTCAGATTAAATCAGTCGATCGATTGTCTTGCCAATCAAGTAATTCATGCCGACCTAAAGTCCAAAGAAGGCCAATCCGCAACTTAGACTCAACATAGATGAACAATTAGGCCTTAACGAATCGAGCTCTGCCGACTGAGTCAATAGTTATCCGAGCTATAGGCACATACATGTTTAATAGTTAAAATATCCCGTAACACCATCATTAAATAAAACACAAACATGTAACTTCACATATTATATCAATCTTCTGTAAATAAGAGATCATTTTATGAGATTGGCAACACATTTTACTTAAATACTGTTTTTCTTATCTCGGAGTCTCTCTCAATATCTCATTTCTTA